TGTTGTAAAGACACCTAAAGAATTATGGTAAGGGTGCAAGCCCAGATCAAACCATATTCGGATTTAGGGTGCTACGGCACACGTCCTACAACAACAGTCAAATGAGATGGAATCTTGTATGGAAGAGTGCATATCTTTTGGCTACCCTAAGAGAACTAGGGATGATTTCTTATTTAGTCTTAAGGACAAGATAATCTAAGTGAGCACTCACATGATTTTCTTAAAGGAGGACTAGATAAGAAATTATAAGCTCTTAAGTTAGGTTATTATTGATGAGATTTATCTCAGATCAAGATTTTCCAGAATCTCTAGAAGCTTCATCCACTGTTCCCTTGATTGTTCAAGAGGGGATAGATATATCTCTAAGTGAACAAACAAGAGAACCATGATTGGAAATTCAACATGATAATATATAAGTGAAACTAGTAGAAATATTAGTATCACATGTAAAGGAACAATATCAAGGATAAGCGGATCCTTAAGAAATTGAAGATCCATCATTTGACCCACTCTTTGTTTTACCTATAAATACACAAGGTCTAGTGCAGTACATTCGTAGTGGGAGAGAACCTTGTTAACTCTCAAGTTGTTTCTTGTTGAGTGATATTGATCCTACTAGTTACGATAATGCACTAGAAGATGTTGTTGATCAAGTGTTGCTCAGGCTATGAACAATGAGATGAAATACTTGTATTTCAACTCCGTTCGGTCCTAGTAAAGACACCAAGAGGGGTAAAACCCACAAGGTGCATGTGGACATAAAAGGCAAAGAGAGGATGGACAGAAAGGTGAAAACCTTCAAAGCTAGCTTGGAGGCATTTTTTGCCAGACGCCATGCTTGAGTCTATCCAGATTCTCTTAGTTGCTATAAGTCTCAATTATGAGATTTCATTTTGGGAGTTGGATGTCAGGATATCTACATACAACAACCAAAAGGGTTTATAGCAAATGAGTAGGAACACACGGTATGCAAGTTGTGAAAGTCTATTTCATAGACTTAAGCAAGCATCCAGGTCTTGAAACATCAGTTTTGATCAGGTTATCAAAATTTTGATTTTGAGAGAACCTTGATGAATGATGTGTATTTGTATGTAAAGGATACAACGGAAGACAGTAGCTTTTCTGGTACTTTATGTAGATGATATGCTCCTTATTAGAAACAATGTGGAGGTAATATCAAGCATAAAGAGTTGGCTAAGTTAGTGTTTTGGTATGGAAGTACTGGGGAAGCCAATTATATTCTTGGTATAAAACTCTTATGAGGCCGGAAGAATAAGTTGTTGGCATCACCTCAGGCTACTTACATTGACAAAACTCTTGCCAAAATTCAACATGAGAATTCTAAGAGAAGAATTATAATTCTCAGATGTGGAATTCATCTTCCTAAGGAGTGACCAAAGACTTCTAAGAAGGAAGAATGCATGAGCAAGATATCTTATGCTTTGGCAAAGGTAGACTCACACATATCATGTTGGGCGTTAAACCAGACATCTGTCACGTAGTGGGAGTAGTGAGATAGTACCATTTTGAACCTAGAGGAATACTAGATTATTGTTAAGCATGTACTCAAGTATCTTTGGAGAACGAGAGATTATATGCTGGTATATTCTAGTGGGAGTCTTGAAAAGCTGAGTTTTCAAAAATTCAGTTATTTCAAGTGGATATTGACTCAAGAAAATCAACCTCGAGCTATGAGTTTTTCACTAAACTCAGATAGCATTAGAGGTGGATCTTGCAGACCCAGTTACTAAGAGTTTGCCTGAACTTGTGTTCGAGAGGCATGTTACTTCTTTGGGTCTTAGGAGGATCCCAGACTTGCATTAAGCAAGTGAGAGTTATTGGTTTCATTGTGCTCTTGGAGTAAGACCATGAAACAATAAAATAATTTTCTGAATTTCATAAATAAGGTTTTATTTATTTATTTTGCGCACTATTTACAAACATAAAGGTCCGGATCAAATTGTGGAGTATATGATCATATGGATACGTTCATGGAGGACATGATCATAGGTTCTCACAATTGATGAATGGATTCACAGCTGTTAAATAAAGTTGGGCACTTTATTTAGGCTGCAATATTTTATGAAATGGTTTTGTCCGAATCATTGGAAAATATTGGTGTGAATTAACATTCACATTGAAAGGATCAAGGAGAGATTTGATTAAGGTTGTTTTTCTGTCATAAGGTATCAATTCTCCAGTTAACTATAGTTATGTGATTGCTCTTAACCCTGAGTTTATTATAAATAGGTAATCAAATAGTTTTCATTCTTTGATTTACCAACGGGTGAGGTTCGATCTATTGACGGCCAATAACTCGGTATTTTGGGAGTGAGATTATTTGATTATCGGTATTTATGAGATAAACAACATGGAATTTGTAGGATATGTCCCCTTGATATGTTTCGGTACTTGGATATTAAAGACACTGGCCAGTGCATGTAATCCATTAAAGAAACTATCATAGTCAAGGGAATAAATAATTGATTGAGTTACAGAAAACTTGTCAATCAATTATAGACATTCTACAAAGGGGCGATGCATATTCATGTTATAAGTGTTGTTAATCTTGGAGTTCAAGTTCGGGCTTTTAGTGGAGTAGCACCAAATTAGATAATCATTCGTTGATTATCAGGAGCCTTGATTAATAACAGATGGTAGATCCCCAAGCTAGCTTGAGACAAGGGATGGGGTATTTTTCGGATAGATGATGACTTATGGGTTACATGATCTTGGGTTTTACGACTCAAGTTTGTATCCAAAAGAGCAAGTGGGAGATTGTTGGGTTTGCTCTTTTACTAAAGCCCAAATGGGTTATTAGTATGAGAAGAGCCCAAGGAACCTAGAGCCCAATGAGCTAGGGTTTCTTGGAACCCATATAAATAGTACCTCTTAAGTCATCAGCCTCCAAGGTCTTTTTTGTGAGAAAGAGGCAAGCTCTGAATCTAATCAGTGCCCACACACTTCCCCTTCCTCCTCGAGAGATAGTTTGGAAGATCTGCCACAGTCCAGCTTCAAGGAGGTTGTTCGTGCTGCGGCGCTGAGGTGAGCTGTTCGTGAAGAGGAATCCTACAAGGGAAGATTCTACACGAGACCTGCGCACCGAGAGGTAATTGTGAAACAATGATGATTCAGTAAGCATACCAATGTACTAGGTCCTAAACCGCTTCCGTATAAATCTAAGATTTCCTACATTTTCTACTTTTCCTTCTTCTCGAGTTTGAGAATACAATTTTTCTAAGGTTGACTAATATTTCATTTTGCAGGGTGCACGATATGATGCAGAAGAAGAAATGAGGAATTCCCAAAAGAAACGTCATGGATTTATGGCTAGGAATAATGTGGATACACAGTATTACCCATATGAACAAAGCAACAGGAGACAGTGGAGAGAGGATTGGAGATCATATGGTAGTAATCTATCTTCTCGAGGTTCTGAACCTGGGCGATCAAGTAGGAAATAGGAAAATCTGTGTGGAATGTTAATTCAGCTAGGATCTGGATTGCAGTTTGACTCATCGAGTGTGGGCTATTTTTTTTTTTTTAGTTTCTCAACCGGTTCATCTTTCGAATTACATCCAGTTCGAGCATTTGTTGGATTCTATCAAAAGGGAAAGTTCTCTCAATTTTTTTTTATTTTCAGGGCTCGAACTCGAAACTTTTGGTTAAGGAGTCTAGACTCCTTACCATCTATGTCAAGGGTGTTTGATGAATGTGGGCGTTATGGTTAGTTCGGTGATGCATTTATTCAGATGTTATGTGGCTTCAATCCTTTGGGTTAGAAGAGGTCTAGTAGGTATACAAGTCTGCAATCGATGACATGGCAGTTGGAGAAGCTGGGCTGGTCAATGCTTCGGGAAATAGAAAAATTCTCTTGTCAAGAGAAAGACAACCCGGTTGCATGCTATAAGCATATTGTCTTTTTTACCCTGATTATGAATTTGAGCAAGGATTTGGTATTTTAGCTTGGCTGATAACCAAAACATGAAAAGGAAGCTTGAAAATTTTGAAATAAGGTTAAGTGAGAGTTCTGATTTTTTGAGATATGTAAATTTTATAGACACTTATCAGAAAGTTGATATTGAGATGTACAGACGAAATTAAATTGTAATGCCACTTCAAAGATTGTAATTATCACAACACCAGTTCCAGTTGGGCCTTAGTTCCAGTTGGGCCTTATTCAGGAAGAGTATTTTTTACCCCCCCCGGTCATAATGATGTTAAAATTAAGGGCTTTTTTTCTATAGTCACTGTAGATAAGATTTTTTGCAGCAGACACAAAAAAATTGAGACTTGCTCATTTTTTTTAAAAAAAAAAAAATCAGAATCCATGGGTGAATTCTGGCTTTTTATGTGTCTTTTTGTAGCAACTGGAAAACTATATTTCTAAAATTAATCCAACATTTCCCATCATAAAAATAAAAATAAAAACAAAAACATAAGAAAACAACACACACATAATGGTAATGGTCGGAACTAAGTAACTGAAACTTCAATTTCACGTAACAAATTTACTCAATAAATTATAATAATCCTTCTATATTCAAAAAAAATAATAATAATAAAGAAAAATTCTCTGTGAAATGCGTCCAGTGGCTAGTTGAGACTTGAGACTAGTTTCATAGACAATGCAAACATACTCGCTTGAGTATATTGTTTTATTCATTTTCAAACTAATAAAAAAAAATCACATACTTGACGTTTCTTTCTTACAGAAACTAAGGAAATTTTAAAAATAACATAAGAAACAAACTCAAGATTTTTTTTTTTTTGGAAGTTTTTTTTACGAGAAGGCTATAGCTCATTTTCATTTAGCAAATCCAAATAGAGAGGCAGTGTGCCTTGTTGCTCTTCTGGACATCTCATCCACTACTAATCCCATACATACATGGATGGAAAAGAATGATCTCTCAAGAACTAATACACGTACGGCCTTGCAGCGTACAATAGAAAGAATTTTACTGAATTTCACTTTGGTTTTTGTATGGGAAGAGGAAAACTCATACATATATTCCTAATCCAAGCTCTTTTGGATCTGTTTCAATCATCCATGGTGACCTGTTTATTTTTCAGAAAAAAATAAAAATAAAAATAAAAATAAAAAAAATAAAAATATAACGGCATAGAGAAAAATTTCCAAAGTAAGATACCAATAATACAGAACACCGGCGCAAAGGTTAGAAAGTTTACCTGTTCATTACAAAGTTAATCGTTCCCTGCCTAACACGCATGAGAAGAACTTCTCTTGCTTCAATTGGAAGTCCTTCAGGCTGCATGTAGAATTCGATTAAATAGTTATAGCACGAAGGAAAAACTTGTTTGATGAAATGTTTAATGTTATACCTTTAAAATAAGTCGAAAAAGAAAAAAGAAAAAAGAAATATGAAAAATAGATACAAATACCTCTTCAGGAAACCAAACCCCAGGCTGCGTGCTTCCTTCAAGAATTGCAAGTGCAAATGCAGCCGTTGCAATTCCTACACATCTGAAAAATGCGCATGCTGTATTCGTTATAACTAACTAATAAAGAAAGAACACTAACGGATTACGGATTCATGAAATTAATATCTCAAACTCAAAGCATGGACGATTTATAACAAAAATGCTGATTTGTTAGTGGACCCTCCATTGTGGCCCTACCAAACTTGTGGGACCCACAGTCTCCTCTTTGTTTGATCAATTAGGCTACCGAGCGAAAATTTCTTCAGAGAGTGACCAAAGTGTCACACTTGGACAAAAAAATTACCAAACTGTCATGTCAACCGTAAATTTTGCCAAAATATTATGCGACATAATTCGCTATACAGTGTAGCGAATTATGCATGCAAGTAATTCGCTACACAGTGTAGCGAAATATGCCACGTCAAAATGCGCAGAACCAAAAATGCCACATGTCAAATTTTGAGAAATTCGCTACCTAGGGTAGCGAATTTCTCAAAATTTGACATGTGGCATTTTTGGTTCTGACGTGGCATATTTCGCTACCTGTGTAGCGAATTATGCCGCGTGGCATTTTGGCAAAATTTACGGTTGGCGTAGCAGTCTGTTAATTTTTTTGTCCAAATGTGACAAAATGGTCACTGTTCCAAATTTCTTTGATGCTACCGATGCACTGTAAATTCGGTGCATCTTTCACTCATATTGTGACACGTGTCTTATTTTTGTCAAATCAATAATAAATAATTTATTTTAAAATCATGAGAGAGAATAATTTGATATAAAATAAAACACGTGTCACAAAATAAATGAAAGATGCACCGAATTTTCGGTACATCTATAGTACCAAAAATATTCTCCTACCGAGCCCTTCAGGCTCTGTACTCATGTCATGTGTCCTGCCTTGTGGGACCCGTAATCTTTTGTGTTTTATAAATTGGACTGTGGAGAAAACTTCGAAGAAAGCATAAGGTAATAAAGATGAACTCGTTATGAATACAAAATTTTATTTAAAATCAAAACGATAGTGTCACGGGCCATCATAGAGGCCCACGTTCTAGAAGATACTCAAGGAAATTAAGAAAAAAAATTTAAACTGATATTAATACTAATACTATAGCAATAAATCATATATTGGACCCTTAAAAAACCATCAAAGATCCAAGTTTCATTATTCACAAGTGAATTTTATAAATAAAAGATAAAGTCTACTTGTATAACACTTTCTCTCTCTCTCTCTACTTACTTGTATACCTTTTACTACTTCCTTAGTAAAAGGTACCAATGAGGTTTCAAATGCAAAGTTTAACAGAGCAGCAAAGGTTAACAGAGCACCTCATCACTAGTCCCCTTCCAGTGGCTTTAAGTTAAAGGATTGTCCAAGGGTTACTAAAACTATAATTATTAAAAAAAGAAAAAAGAAAACTATAAATCGTTTTATAAAGTGTAGATACAATCACAATTATAATAATATATATTTTCCTTCAATACATAGAATAATTAAATTATGAAAAAAAAAATTATAGTAAAATATTTCAAAATAATTTTCCCTTCAAATTATTTTCATAATTAAATTACGCATGCGCCAAAAGCTAGTATAATGTAAGCTTGGTTAAAACTTACACCGAAAGTCTCCTATGACTTAATATGCCAACGGTGTTGCGGCCACTTGAACACTCCAATTCAACCTGAACAGTAGACAAGAAAGAGATTTCTTTTTTGGTAAACGTAGATAAGAACGAGTAGACTTAATTACTATATTTACATACTGTACTAAACATCATAAGATTCATAACAACAATTCTACGTAATTTTATAAAGAAAAAGATGGTTAAACTGAGCACTAGTTTAATCCTTTTCATTTGCCTCACCCTCATTGATACACATTCTCCAGCAATCCCATCAATTGCTCGAACAACAGGATCAAACAACTCAACCAGCCTTCCGACTCTATTTCTGTCTCTTAGAAATTCCTGCATGTTTACTCAAAAGTCATCACAACATATACTTTTATTTTCATTTTCATGATATATGTAAGTTGTTTCGCATTTGCATTCCTTTTTCCTAATTTTCTTTTTATATTTCCATTTATATCACGTTCTTCGGGATTCATAGTATCCAAATTGATTATATTGCAGGATTCTGGTTTTTAACAAACATTGATGCTAAAAATCAAATGCTTCCTATTAACAAGAAAACTACTCTTTAGATTTGTTGAGTTCTAGTTAAAGGAAGTTCGGTAGAATATTTTCCTTTCCCTATTGCATTTTGATAGATATCCTGGTACTAAGGTGTACAGTAGCAAGGAAGGGAATAGCAGTTGTATGCTGAAAAGCATAAATCATAGGTTGATCAAGTTTACATGCTTTTTCCATTTAAATGTTCGAACTTTGTTTCATTGATAGCAACATAATATAATCAAAATCAACAAATACAAACATATATAAAAGTAGAGTATAAAGATAATTTAAATGAATTCATATTCATGATACTATATTTTGAAAGCAACTTGAAATGGTAGAGTAAGTTTCAGTATTGCTCACAGATATTCTGAGTATGGCTCTTCAGATTTTCATTGTAAAAGAATTTAGATTGCACAAACTCAATTTTTGAATAAAGTCATTCAAAAAAATAAAAATATAATTGTTAGAATATTATTCTATGTACTAACAAAACCTAAGTACTAGAAAATGCATTAAGCATAGGCTCAGACATATTAAATATTGTAGTACTTTTAGGATGTGCCAGATAAGTTGCAGCTCATATTAATTGAATAAAAGCTTCCAAAAATCAACCAAGCTTAGTAAAAATAATGAGATCGAGCCTACAAAAATTATGCTTGACTTTGCTTTCCTCCTTGTTTTCATCATTACATCAGAATTCAGGATGTCATGCAGCTCATTATAAGGATAAAAGAGATACTTGATGCAGAGCAACATGCAGTACCATTTCATAATAGAGTGAGTAGCCTATCAAAAGCAGGATTGTATTGAGAATATTTTCATGCATACTGATAGCAATTGCAGTTATCTGCAAACAAGCCAATCCAAGTGATTCAAGAGCATACCGAAGGAAGAAGTTTTGTCATAGCTTCCATTCCCCAATTCCAGAAAAATGGAGCTGTTCCAAATCGAGCACTTACAGTTGGCACTCCAAGAATCTCATGAGCACTTCTAACCTCTGGTAAATTCCTGAAAAACATTTATTGAAGTGGTATCCTAATTTCTGGAGAAAGTAAACATACAGGGGTAATTAAACCAATTTGTTGTAGCCCATATATCATATCATATATGAATGACTGAAACAGTACCAAAATCCTATTATGGAAGCTTGGTAAAGAAGCAGAAAAATGACCTTCACAGATGTATATTACCACTTATGATATAAAACAGACTCAATGAAGATTTATTATTTTTATTTTGTTTTTGAATCAGGGTTCCGCGGGGCTATTCTAACTTCCAATGCTTACAATATATCAACAAGCTTACAATAGATAAACATCTCTTTTGCCAATCCCTTTTCCAAAGTCAACGTTGAGCATTCCACTATATGGCTTCAGTTTGATCTTTTCTCCTAGTTGAACATACCAGCATCATCATTTAATCCTACAAACAAAATGGTAATTTAATCTAGATTAAATAAATAACTTATACGAACTCTCTAGACAACAACCTTTGTTATATGCAACTACTTCCTCTCCCAACAGCAAGAAGCTTGCAGCTAATGTTGTTGGACCATTACCACCAGTTCCAGCTATGTAGTAGTAGAACCTGTGCTGGAATAGCAGCTTATAAGTTGCAAAATCAACATGAAAGCCCAGAAAATAAACATATAAGATTAGGTTTTTCTACCCCAGGTTAAAATTATTCCTCTAATCATTATTTGGACTTTTGATTTTCCTTCACTATTCCGCTAAGCTTATTTCGTATCAGCACATTGTGGGGGGGGGGGGGGGGGGGGGGGGGGGGGGGTCTACATTCGATTAATGAAAAAGATTATTTCCTACATACCATAATGTATATATTAATGAAAATAAATTTGACAAGAAATAACTCAACCACACAGAAGGACCTTAAGGATGTGTTCGATATTCACTATGTTCGATTCTCAAGTATCTTAGGTTTCTAGGCATATCATATCAAGGAATTTAACATATGATGATATGTCCAACTGGTGAGATAAGTAATGACATATTAACCACAATATGTTCTCATTGAAAACAAAAATTCATAAACTTCAGAATTATACGAGAGGAACTGTGACCTTAGCCTCTCTGGCTTATCTTTATTTTCACTTTCTGCAGCACGGACTAGCTCTGCTGCCATGACTAAGACAAAATTCAAGGAAGTGTTAGCAATCAAAATACACCAGATGCAAAAAAAATTCACTCACCATAATGCATGATCTGCTAGAAATTCCTAGTGATCTACTATTAATATTACTGTCAATCAGCATGCACTCTTTGTCTTGTGTATATAGCAACATAGAAGAAAAACCTTGAATAACCAATATCCTAAGATAAGCTTCCCAACTATGTGCAGGCATTACTTGAATAATCAGATTAACCCAAGAGAGATCAAAAGTTGTATGTATCGATCAGCGAATATTTTCTTTATTATTCCTATTCATGAGTACTCGGAGGGAGTCCAGTAATTTTGGCTTAAGCCACATTATGTATACAGCATGGATCAGTCACACAAACTTACAAATACATGATCTCACACTGTTGAGTACGAATAAGAATGGGATAAGCAAACCCAGAAACTGCATGCAAGTCAATAGGTCATCATTTTTCATACTCATCCAAAAAAAAATAAAAGTTTACTTTTGACATTCAAGTATTATCCAGGTCAATTTAATATAGAGCGGTGAACAAATGTTTCTGGTAATGATTTCGTAACATAAGAGCAATGCACATAGGTAAGCAGTAAGCACCATTGCTCACTCCAGGGCATATTCCTCCGGTTATTATAGCTGGAACATTTGCATCTAACGCCCTACTCATTAAGGATTTTGCACGCCATGCATAGGTTGTGTCATCACAAACATCAAGATATGCAGTCTGCGGCAAAAACATATATCAAGGGGAAAGAATAAAAAAAAGTTAGTTAAGTGCGTGTACATGTAAAGGCAAGATATGAGCATAGATTAGTGCAGAAAATTTTGATATACATAAAAATGTAGCGATTCAGAAACGGTTAATCGTTGATGGAAAATATAGGCTATCATACACCAATACTTCAAAATACCTGACATGTAGTATCCGACATTTTCCAACACTACTGACACTGACACACACACACACATTGCAAAGACTAAAAAAAATTCAAAGATTACATTGAGTTTCGTTTTTAGTTCTAACTATTAGATTCGATGAATTACGATTACTATTTTATTGAGTTTAATATAAATATTTGTGATATTTTATGTTTCTTTATAAAATTAATGACGTATTATAAGTTTAGCTTCATTTTTTATATTAAATTATTGAATATTAAATATAATATACACTACATAAATTAAAAATATTATTTAATATCAAAACGTGATATTTTTAAAAATTAAGTTATGGGAATATTGTGTCGTATCATGTGCGTGCAAGAAGGATATAGGTTACCTTGGTATTTATGGCAGCTTCAAGAACAATGCACCTTTCTGCCTGTTGGAAAGGTCCAGCGGCATGAACTACAAGATCCACACCTGCAGATGCAATCTAACACTATATTGGCATCAACAACATCAATAACCGATCTCAATAAAAAAAAAAAAAAAAAAAAATGTTGATTGATAATGCGATTTTACTTTTCAATGCAGTTTCCAGAGAATTGACGTCGTCGATGTCAACATGAGCAAAACCTGAATTGCCGCCAAGTTTTGCAACCATAGCTTCACCTTTTTCTCTGTCACACGATCACATCATCACAGCCACGAATTATAATTACTCAACAATCTTTCTTACATTACAGTCACGCGCACGCGTGAGGATGAATGACAAATGCACTGACCTGTTTCGGCCGGCGACGACGATTCGAAGGTCGGGACAGAGGTTGGAGAGGGCAATGGCGGTGAATCCTCCGACCCGACCCGTTCCGCCGAGGACTAACACTCTCGAGTTACGAGTCTTCTCCGGCAGCTCCGCGACCTTGTTGGTTTGGAGTTGACTCCTCAACTTCAAATTCAAATGCAGAGCCAACGAAGGTGGCGCCATTGATTGAATTGAATTTGATGAGATGAGATTCACTTCCCTCTTCTCTTTCGTTGTAACTTGATATATAACAACTTATCAAGTTATTCTGCAAGTTAAGAACTTCACGTGATCATGTCTGTATAATTATTATTAATGTTTTTTTCTAATGTGATCATGTTTTGTTTCTTCTACCCACTTGAAATATGACAGGCTTAATTAATTAAAAATATATATAGCAAAACAAAATGTTAAACGAAGATATAAATAAAAATAAAATAAAAAAACAGAGTCCAGAAGTGATGCATTAGAAGTAGCTGACACTCACATCATATTACAAATCATAGATATAGCAACTGTATCAAAAGCAAAAGGCTGACAGATAAAATAGTAATGCAAATTTAGAGTGAAATGATTATCTAACATCTTAAAAAGAAAACATATATATATACATTCATGACTGGGTTCATTTTTGTTTTGGTGCAAAAGTTTCTATGTTAACCTTCATGACAGAAATACTTGTTCAAGTCAAATATAGAAACTAGTAATAATCTGTAGCCTAGTTTGATGGGCATTATCCGTACTCAATTGATACCAGATCCTGACAGATGCTACCATTAGAAATCAAAACACAAAATAAAAAGACTCAGATAATGTAATAAAAAAAAAAAAAAAAAACTCAGACATATTCTTTAAAATTGATTAAAAAAACAGTTACAATTTTTTAATTTTTTTTTGGGAAAAGTTCACCGATCCTATCTGGTTTACTCCAGAGTTACTTATGTTCCTATGATTTTTTTTATCACACATGTGATTTTTTACTTTCTACAAATCATAGGAGCATATATGATAAAAAAAATCACAGAGACATAGATGATTTTAAAGCAAACCACAAGAATATTGGTGAACTTTTTCTCCTTTGTTTTTTTTTTAATTCTGAAAACAAAAATATTAATTTTAGAAACTGTATTAAAACAGGGCCTAAAATTCTTCTATTCTTTCTTCTGTTTAATCTGTATTAATTTTTGGATTTTCGAATATATCTATTTTTACATGCTATTCAATGAATTATTTTATTTAGGATTTTAATTGCATGTATATTATGTGATAATATGAAAAAAAAAAAAATGTTTCGATACTCTTGCAGGCACTTTCTAGACGTGCAACTCTGTATGAGATGATCAGAGATTATGCCCAAGCAACCAGCGATCTTCTCGAGGTTCTGAACCTGACCGATCAAGTAGGAAATAATAAAATCTGTGTGGAGTGTGGCCTAGTTAGGTGCTGCCTTTTAACTTAGGAGCTGCCTTTTAACCTTGAAATATATCATTTCAAAAGTTAACCCAAAGAGTAAGAGTATCCAAGGTCACATTAGTTACCCACACAATCAATGTGAGACTATATATTTCAACACGCTCCCTCATGCAAGAGCCCTTTGGGCTAGAAGCGTGGAATTGCACAGGCCCAATTTTTGGTTTACCTTTTGTGTTTTTTTATTTTATTTTAATTCCACTTTTTTTAAAGTGTAAGACGGTGAGGGCTGAAGCTCTGATACCCTATTAAAGAACCTTGGGATACACCCATGTAAAGAACTTTGGGATAAAGAACCTTGGGATACACACCTCAAAAGCTAGCTCAAAGGGTGAGAGTGCTCAAGGCCTTATAAATGCCATATTAGTTGCTCATCCAATCAATGTGGGACTATATATCTCAACACGCCCCCTCACGCAAGAGCCCTGTAGGGTAGAAGGGTGGAAATTGCACGCAAGAGCCATTTTTTTGTGCTTTTTCTTTTAATTCCACTTTAAAGTGGGGGGCCGTGAGATGAGGATCGAACTCGTGAACTTATGGTCACTCAAGCTCTGATACCATGTAAAGAACCTTAGGATACATCACCTCAAAAGCTAGCTCAAAGGGAGGGAGTGTCTAAGGCCTTATAAAGGCCACATTAGTTGCACATCTAATCAATGTGAGACTATATATCCACTTTAAAGTGGGAGGCGGTGAGGGCTCAAGCTCTGATACATGTAAAGAATCTTGGGATACACCACCCCAAAAGCTAGCTCAAAGGGTAGGAGTGTCCAAGGCCTTATAAAGGCCACATTAGTTGCACATCTAACCAATGTGGGACTATATATCTCAACACGCCCCCCTCACGCAAGAGCCCTTTGGGCTAGAAGCGTGGAATTGCACAGGCCCAATTTTTGGTTTACCTTTGGACAGGCCCAATTTTTAGTTTACCTTTTTGTGCTTTTTTTATTTTATTTTAATTCCACTTTAAAGTGGGAGGCGGTGAGGGCTCAAGCTCTGATACCATGTAAAGAATCTTGGGATACACCACCCCAAAAGCTAGCTCAAAGGGGGGAGTGCCCAAGGCTTTAAAAAGGCCACATTAGTTGCACATCTAACCAATGTGAGACTACATATCTCAACACGCCATCTTATCCTAAGGTTCTTTACATGGTATCAGAGCTTGAGTGACCATAAGTTCACGAGTTCGATCCTCACCTCACGACCCCCCACTTTAAAGTGGAATTAAAAGAAAAAGCACAAAAGGTAAACCAAAAAAAAAAAATGGGCCTGTGCAATTTCCACGCTTCTAGCCTAAAGGGCTCTTGCGTGAGGAAGCGTGTTGAGATATATAGTCCCACATTGGTTGTATGAGCAACTAATGTGGAGTTTATAAGGACTTGGGCACTCCCACCCTTTGAGCTAGCTTTTGGGGTGGTGTATCCTAAGGTTCTTTACATGTTGAGATATATAGTCTCACATTGATTGTGTGGGCAACTAATGTGGCATTTATAAGGCTTTGAGCACTCCTACCCTTTGAGCTATCTTTTGGGGTGGTGACCTCAAGGTTCTTAATATGGTATGCAATTCCACGTTTCTAGCCCAAAGGGCTCTTGCGTGAGGAGGCGTGTTGAGATATATAGTTCCACATTGATTGTGTGGGCAACTAATGTAATCTTTATAAGGCCTTGAACACTCTCAACCTTTGAACTAGCTTTTCGATGGGGTGATGTATCCCAAAATTCTTTATATTGGCCTTGCCGAATTAATGCATTATGGTAAGTTCGTTGATGCATTTATTCCGATGTTACGCGGCTTCAATCTTTCGAGTTAGAAAGAGGTCTAGTTGGTACACAATTCTGCAATCGATGACATAGCAGTTGGAGAAGCTGGGCTGGTCAATGCTTCGGAATCGGAAGTAGAAAAAATCTCTTGGTAAGAGAAAGACAACCTGGTTGCATGCTATAAGCATTTTGCCTTTTTTTACGCTGACTATGAATTTGAGCAAGTAGTTGGTATTTTAGCTAGGCTGATAACCAAAACATGAAAAGGAAGCTTGAAAATTTTGCAATAGGGTTAAGTGAGAGATCTGATTTTTATAGATATGTAAATTTTATTGACACTTCTCACAAAGTTGATACTGAGAAGTACAGAGGAAGATTTAGTTGTAATGCCACTTCAAAGATTGTAATTACCATATTTCAAAAAAAAAAAAAAAAAAAATCGTAATTACCACAACACCAGCAGTTGGGCCTATTCAGGAAGAGTATTTTTTTTTTTTTTTTTGGATAACGAGTACTTTTTTTTTTTTAAGTACAAAGGAAAAGTACTTTTTATTCCCCGTCATAATGATGTTAAAAGTAAGGAAAAAGTGTATCATTTTAAAAGGATGTAAAATTGTGTCATTTTAAGTGAGAGAAAGAGATAGATAAAGGAGGAGTGAGAGGAGATAAAAAAATATAAAAATGTAAGTCACATCTCTTTGTGAGAGTGAAATAACATAAGTTGTGTCATTTAAAAGGACAAACATTTTTCCCTAAAAGTAATCCAACCTTTCCCATCATGAAAATGAAAAAAAAAAAAAAAAAAAAAAAAACACACATACAAACAATGGTAGTAAAGGTCGGAATTATAGTAACTGCGAAACTTCAATTTCACGTAACAAAATTACTCAATTAGCTATAATAATCCTACTAAATTTAAAAAATTATAATAAAGAAAAATTCTCTGTGAAATACGTCCAGTGGCTAGTTGAGACTAGTGTCATTGATAATGTAAACATATCCGCTTGAGTATATTGTTTTATTCATTTTCAAATTAATAAAAAAAATCACATATTGACATACCTTACGTTGCTTTCTTTTAAAAAAAATATATAAAAAAAATGGAAATTTTAAAAATAACATAAGAAACAATTACAAGAATTTTTTTTTTCAAAATTTTTTTTACGAGAAGGCTATAGCTCATTTTCATTTAGCAAATCCAAATAGAGAGGCAGTGCGCCTTGCTCTTCTGGACATCTCATCCACTAATCCCATACATGGATAGAAAAGAATGCTCTCTCAAGAACTAATACACTTACGGCATTGCAGTGTACAACAGGAAGAATTTTATTGAATTTCACTTTGGTTTTTGTATGGGAAGACTCATACATATATTCCTAATCCAAGCTCCTTTGGATCTGTTTCAATCATCCATGGTGACCTGTTTATTTTTCAGAAAGAAAGAAAAAGAAAAAAAGAAAAACAAATAAAACGGCATAGTGAAAAATTTCCAAAGTAAGATACCAATAATACAGAACACCAACCCAAGGTTAGAAAGTTTCTGTACTAAAAAAAAAAAGGTTAGAAAGTTTACTTGTTCATTACAAAGTTAATCGTTCCCTGCCTAGCACGCATGAGAAGAACTTCTCTTGCTTCAATTGGAAGTCCTTCAGGCTGCATGTAGAATTCGATGAAATAGTTATAGCACAAAGGAAAAACCTGTTTGATGAAATGTTTAATGTTATAACTTTAAAATAAGTCGAAAAAAAAAAGAAAAACTATGAAAATTAGATACAAATACCTCTTCAGGAAACCAAACCCCAGGCTGCGTGCTTCCTTCAAGAATTGCAAGTGCAAATGCAGCCGTTGCAATTCCTACACATCTGAAAAATGCGCATGCTGTATTCGTCATTACTAATAAAGAACACTAACGGATTATGGATTCATGAAATTAACATCTCAAAGCATGGACAATTTATAACAAAAATACTGATTCGTTAGTGAACCCTCCATTGTGGCCCTACCAAACTTGTGGGACCCACAATCTCCTCTTTGTTTGATCAATTAGGCTACTGAGCCCTTCAGGCTCTGTACTTATGTGTCCTACCTTGTGGGGCCCTTAATCTTTTCTGTTTGGTCAATTGGACTGTGAAGAAAGCTTTAAAGAAAGCATAAGTAATAACGAAGAGTTCATTATAACTACAAAATTTTATTTAAAATCAAAACTATAGTATAAAGGTACCAACGAGGTTTCAAATGCAAACTAACAGCACCTCATCATTAGTCCCCTTCCAGTGGCTTTAAGTTAAAGGATTGTCTAAGGTTTACTAAAACTATAATTATTAAAAAAAAGAAAAAGAAACCTCTAAACCCTTTTATAATAGTGTAGATATAATCATAATTAATTTCCCTTTAATACATAGAATAAAAATAATGAAAAAAATTGTATTGTAAAATATTTCAAAATAATTATCCCTTGAAATTATTTACATATTACCAAAATATAATTGTTTTCATAAATTACGCATGCGCCAAAAGCTAGTTTAATGTAAACTTGGTTAAAACTTACACCGAAAGTCTTCTATGACTGAATATGCCAACGGTGTTGCGGCCACTTGAACACTCCAATTCAACCTGACCAGTAGATAAGAAAGAGATTTCTTTTTTGGTAAACGTAGATAAGGAGATGACATAATTCATTTATTTACATACTGTACTAAACATCATAACAACAATTCTATGTAATTTTATAAAGAAAAATATGGTTAAACGAGCACTAGTTTAATCCTTTTCATTTGCCTCACCCTCATTGATACACGTTCTCCAGCAATCCCATCAATTGCTCGAACAACAGGATCAAACAACTCAACCAGCCTTCCGACTCTATTTCTGTCTCTTAGAAATTCCTGCATGTTTACTCAAAAGTCATCACATAATAATTAACAACATATACTTTTATTTTCATTTTCATGATATATGTAAGTTGTTTCTCATTTGCATTCCTTTTTCCTAATTTTCTTTTTATATTTCCATAGTCTAGTATCATGTTCTCGGGTATTCATAGTATCCAAATTGATTATATTGCAAGATTCTGGTTTTTAACAAACATTGACGCTAAAAATCAAATGCTTCCTATTAACAATAAAACAACTCTTCAGATTTGTTGAGCTCTAGTTAAAGGAAGTTTGGTAGAATACTTTCCTTTCCCTATTGCATTTTGATAGATACCCTGGTACTAAGGTGTACAATTGCAAGGAAGGGAATAGCAGCAGGGGATTAGAGGCTGTTGTGAATAGTGTGGAAGGGAAGTGTGATCAGCACATGGTAATTGGTAAGGGTGCATTGTAACAACCTGATAGTAGGAATAGGATAAAAGGAGAAGAGAGGAGAGGGGAAAGAGGGGAAATTGTGAGACTCTGGGGAGGAGGAAGCAGGACCCTCTAGGTTTCTGCAGGGTTTCTTCTTTTTCCTTTCATATTCTTCTCTTTTCTTGAGTTTGTACACTTTCTCTTGAAACTGATATCAGTTTCAAAACTCATACGGAAAGTTTATACATAAATAATATGGATTCAGCTCAGATACCTATCACATTTTCTCTGAAAATGCTTTCTGAAACACCATTGCAGTTGTATACAGAAAGCATAAATCATAGGTTGATCAAGTTTACATGTCTGTTCCATTTAAATGTTCGAACTTTGTTTCATTCCTATCAACATAATATAACCAAAATCAACAAATACAAAAATAAAAGTAGAGTATAAAGATAATTTAAATGAATTCATATTCATGATACTATATTTTGAAAGCAACTCTAAAAGTTACTTTTGTTTGGGAGAGTTGAAATGGTAGAATAAGTTTCAGTATTGCTAACTGATATTCCGGGTTATAGATCATCAGATTTTCATTGTAAACGAATTTAGATTGAACAAACTCAAATTTTGAATAAAATCATTTAAAACAAAAATAAAATTTGTTAGAATATTATTCTATGTACTAACAAAATCTAAGTACTAGAAAATGCATAACATAAAAAGTTTATATTTGCAAAGCAGAGACTCATAAATATTGAATATTGTATTACTTTTAGAATGTGCCAGATAAGATGCAGCTCATATTAATTGAATAAAAGCTTCCAAAAATCAACCAAGCTTAGTATAATGCTCAAAAGAAAATAATGAGATCGAGTCTACAAAACTTATGCTTGACTTTGCTTTCCTCCTTGTTTGCATCATTACATCAGAATTCAGGATGTCATGCAGCTCATTTTAAGAATAAAGGAGATACATGATGCATAGCAACATGCAGTACCATTTCATAATAGAGTGAGTAGCCTATCAAAAGCAGTGTTGTAATGAGAATATTTTCACGCATACTGATAGCAATTGCAGTTATCTGCAAACAAGCCAATCCAAGTGATTCAAGAGCATACCGAAGGAAGAAGTTTTGTCATAGCTTCCATTCCCCAATTCCAGAAAAATGGAGCTGTTCCAAATCGAGCACTTACAGTTGGCACTCCAAGAATCTCATGAGCACTTCTAACCTCTGGTAAATTCCTGAAAACCATTATTGAAGTGGTATCCTAATTTCTGAAGAAAGCAAATATACAGGGGTAATTAAACCAATTTGTTGTAGACCATATATCATATTATATATGACTGAAACAGTACCAGAATCCTGTTACGGAAGCTCGGTAAAGAAGCAGAAAAATGACCTTCGCAGAATGTATATTATGTTGTAAATATTATTATTATTTATTTATTTGTTATTTGTTGTATTGGGCTTAGCCCATTAGGTCAAGTATTCTAGGTCTTGTATTCTCTATAAATAGAGAACCCTTTTGTACATATGATTTACAATTCTATAATATATTATAATACCCTTTTTCAAGTTGGTATCAGAGCTCTCGATCTGAGGGTTCTGCTTCCGCGCCTATTTGCCTTTAGAGTAAAAAGGCCCTGATCCCTTTGCCTCTTGCTGCCATAAGCCGCCATCGGAAAATTTTTCCGGGGACCTTTTGGACCAAGAGGACTACTGTTAACTGTTATCTTTCTTCGATTACACCCTCCAACACCGATTACACAGCCCAAACACCTCCAAACAGCCGCGAACACCCGATTACACAACCCAAACACCTCCAAACAGATCTGTCATCGCGTCTGGACCACCTTCCGGTGATTTTTCAACCGCGACCACCCACAGACAAATGCGCGCTCGCTGGACGACCACCGTGCAAAAATTTCAGCCGGAGAGGACAGCCCACACGCTCTCACGCGCCGCCCAAGCTCCAGCGCGTGAAGCCCACGCGCAGCCACCTCCACCGGCGCGTGGAGGCGCGTGACACCTTATTTTGGCCTCGGACCACCGCCATTCTTCTCGTCTCCTTGTTCTCTGTCTGGATCTGTGATTGTTTCACTGATCGGACTTCATTTCATAATCTGTTTGGTTGATTTTATCGCTGGTTGTTAACTTTTTATTGAAGAATGGCCGAGAATGCGGTTCTTTGATCTTATCTGGTAAGAGCACACGTTCTATATCTCTTCTTGCTTCTTGCACTGATTTTAAAACCTCATGGATTTTGGATTCTGGTACAACTGATCATATGGCTTGTCGTACTGAGTTGTTTTGTTCTTATCATCCTACTGTTGGTAGTCATACTATATCCGTAGCTGATGGATCCCATAAATCAGTTATTGGTTCTGGTAACATTCAAATTTTACCTTTCTTGTTTCTTAAAAATGTTCTTTATGTTCCTCAACTTTCTACTAATCTTATCTCCACTCAAAAACTTACAACTGATTTGAATTGTTCTATCACATTTTTTTCTTCTCATTGTGTTATTCAGGATCTTACCACAAAGAAGACAATTGGAGTTGCTAATGAACAGGATGAGTTGTATCATCTCCTTCCAGACCATGTTAGCAAAAATCAGTTATTAATGACACGTCATCCTTCTACTGCAGAGTCTATGATTTGGCTCCATCACAAGCGTCTGGGGCATCCACCATTTAGTCTTTTGAAGTTTATGTTCCCTTCTCTGTTTCTCAATAAGTCGGTTGAGACCTTTCATTGTGATGTTTGTGAATTTGAAAAACACCATCGAGTATCATTTCCTTCTAGCACTATTAAAAGCAGGGAACCTTTTTCTCTTATCCATTCTGATGTTTGGGGCCCTTCTAAAGTGCACAGTGTTTCAGGTGCAAGGTGGTTTGTTTCTTTTATTGACGATTGTACTCGGGTAACATGGATATACTTGATGAAAGACAAGTCTGAAGTACCAGAGATATTTATTCGGTTTCATCACATGGTTGAGACTCAGTTTGGTAAGGGTATTAAAAGACTAAGATCTGATAATGGTACTGAGTACGTCAACCAACGCCTGTCACAATTCATTTCAGACAGAGGTATGATTTATGAGCTCACATGTGTTGATACCCCTCAACAAAACGGGGTTGCTGAAAGAAAAAATCGTCACCTCTTTGAAGTTGCTAGAGCACTACTTTTCCAGACATCTGTTCCTAGTTCTTATTGGGGAGAAGCAGTGTTAGCTGCAAATTTTTTGATCAACCGTTTACCTTCACGGGTCCTTAACAATATCAGTCCTATTCATTCCATGACTTCCTTCTTTTCTTCTGTTCCCATATTGCAGAGCCTTCCACCAAGAGTGTTTGGATATGTTGCCTTTGTCCATGTTCGTAAACAACATCAGAGTAAGTTGGATTCTAGGGCTCTTAAGTGTGTCTTCCTTGGTTATACCCCTTATAAAAAAGGGTACAAGTGTTATCATCCACCAAGTCGGAAATTTTTTGTTTCTATGGATGTCACCTTTCAAGAATCTGAATCTTATTTCCTGGGTCTTCATCGTCAGGGGGAGAACAATTCTTCAAAAGACTCGTCCCCTTCCTTCTTTGAGTCTGGATCAGTCTTCTCTCTTCGTAGTGTGTCTGCTCCTGGTGTGTCAGAACCTTCAAATACACCTGAGATACGGAAAATTTTGACACCTGAATTGGTATATCAGAGGAGGAAACAACCCATACTGTCTCACCAGCAACCTCAATCGTCTAAACCACTGGTAAGTCCTGAATCTCCTGTTTCTTCTGAGTCTCCTGTTTCTTCTGAATCTCCTGTTTCTGATTCTAATATTATTGCCTCTCATGATTTGTCTATTTCTTCTGATATCTCTAATGACTTACTCATTGCTTCTGTTTTTGATGACTTACCTATTGCCCTAAGAAAAGCAAAAAAAACTTGTTTCAAGAAATCTTGTTCCTCATGTCCCTCTTGTATTCAATACCCTATCTCCCATTTTGTTTCCTCTACTCATCTTTCTGTGCAGCACAAAAGCTTTGTTTTGGCACTAGATTCTAAGTCTATCCCAAAATCAGTACATGAAGCTTTGAAAGATGGGAATTGGGCTCAAGCCATGCAAGAGGAGATGAATGCATTAGAAAAAAATAAAACATGAGAGGTTATTGATAGACCCAACGGAAAGAAAGCAGCAGGATGCAGATGGGTTTATGCCCTGAAATATGATTCTGATGGCACTCTTGAGAGATACAAGGCTCGATTAGTCGCCAAAGGTTACACTCAAACCTATGGCATTGATTATGAAGAAACCTTTGCTCCAGTTGCAAAGATGAATATGGTGAGAATCTTGTTATCCCTTGTTGCCCATTACAATTGGAATATAAATCAATTTGATGTGAAAAATGATTTCCTCAATGGTGAGTTAGAAGAAGAAGTCTACATGGAAATCCCGCCTGGTTTTGATTCTGTGAAGGGGGAAAATAAAGTTTGTAGATTAAAAAAGGCCTTGTATGGATTGAAGCAGTCTCCTCGTGCTTGGTTTGGAAGGTTTACTAAGGTTATGATGACCTTAGGATACAGACAGAGTCAAGGAGATCACACTCTTTTCTTCAAGCACTCCCAAAATGGGAAGCTTACTGTGCTCCTTGTATATGTTGATGATATTATTATCACAGGTGATGATTTTGTGGAGAGACAGATTTTGCAAACACGGCTTGCCTCTGAGTTTGAAGTCAAAGACCTTGAGAAACTGAGATATTTCCTACGGATAGAAGTAGCTCATTCAAGCAAAGGAATTTTTATCAGCCAGAGGAAATATGTTCTTGATCTTCTCAAAGAAGCAGGAAAGCTCGGGTGTAAACCCTCTAATACTCCTATTGAGCAAAATCACAAGATGGGCTATGCAGAAGAGAGTCCTCCAGTTGATAAAGGACAATATCAACGGCTAGTTGGGAAATTGATATATCTTGCCTATACTAGACCAGACCTAGCTTATGCTGTTAGTGTTGTCAGTCAGTTTATGCACAATCCAAAGGAAAAACACATGCAGGCAGTAGAGAGAATTCTTCAGTATCTTAAAGGTACTCCTGGTAAAGGATTGTTATTCCGACGTGATGGCAATCTATCTTTAGAAGTCTACACAGATGCTGATTATGCTGGATCCGTGACTGACCGTCGTTCTACCACTGGTTATTGCATGTTTCTTTGCGGTAACTTGGTGACATGGAGAAGTAAGAAACAAGATGTGGTTGCCAGATCAAGTGCAGAAGCTGAATTTCGAGCTATGGCTCAAGGCATTTGTGGGTTACTGTGGCTGAAAATTGTACTTTATGATCTCAAAATAAAATGTGAGGAACCTATGAAGCTGCTATGTGATAATAAGTCCGCTATTTGTATAGCTCATAATCCAGTTCAACATGATCAGACTAAACATATTGAGGTCGACCGTCATTTCATCAAAGAGAAACTTGATAGCGGGTTGATTACCACTCCATACATTTCCACTGGGCGTCAATTAGCTAATCTATTGACAAAGGGGCTTCCTCCAGACAGATTTTAAGAACTTACTAGCAAGCTGAGAATGATGAATATCTATTCCTCAGCTTGAGGGGGAGTGTTGTAAATATTATTATTATTTATTTATTTGTTATTTGTTGTATTGGGCTTAGCCCATTAGTTCAAGTATTCTAGGTCTTGTATTCTCTATAAATAGAGAACATTTTTGTACATATGATTTACAATTCTATAATATATTAGAATACCCTTTTTCAAGTTATTACAGCTGATGATATAAAACAGACCCAATGAATATTTATTATTTTATTTTGTTTTTTAATCAGGGTTCCTCGGGGTTATTCTGACTTCCAATGCTTACTATATATCAACAAACTTACAATAGATAAACATCTCTTTTGCCAATCCCTTTTCCAAAGTCAACGTTGAGCATTCCACTGTATGGATTCAGTTTGATCTTTTCTCCTAGTTGAACATTCCAGCATCATCATTTAATCCTACAAACAAAATGGTAATTTAATCTTGATAAAATAAATAACTTGTACGAACTCTCTAGACAACAACCTTTGTTGTATGCAACTACTTCCTCTCCCAACAGCAAGAAGCTTGTAGCTAATATGGTTGGACCAGCACCACCAGTTCCAGCTGTGTAGTAGTAGAATCTGTGCTGGCATAGCAGCTTATAAATTGCAAAATCAACATGAAAGCCCAGAAAATAAACATATAAGTTTAGGTTTTTCTGTCCTTGGTTAAAATTATTCCTCTCATCCTTTTTTGGACTTTCTGATTTTCCTTCATTATTCTGCTAAGCTTATTTCATATCAGCGGATTGTGAGGGGGAAAAAAGCTTGTACATTAGATTAATGAAAAAGCTTATTTCCTACATACCATAATGTATATTAATGAACATAGATTTGACTAAAAATAACTTAACAACACAGAAAGACCTTAAGGGTGTGTTTGGTACAAGAGAAATTTTTTGGTGACCGGGAATCATGATTAATGGGAATTCAGTAGAAATTGAGTTTACCTGGAATCTTACGAAAGAGGTGTTTGGTTCGCCAAAATATTACCGGGAATATTGGGTAAAAATTACTGATTCCATATTTGGTTTAGAACGAAATATGACTTGGAATATGAGGTTATTTTACAAAAATAACCCCAAACTATTTTACTTTTGTAATTGATAGATTGGGTCTAGATTTTTATGTGTATTGGGGTATTTTTGTCTTAAAATTTATTATTGTGCTTTCCCTTTACTTGGTATTCTGATTGGTATTCCGAATTACCATATTATTTTTGGTAATCTGAATAGTGACTTTTCTTTATAAATCAAATTACCGGTAATCCTTGGATATCCGGGAATCGTAATTTATTCCTTCTACCAAACGTGGTAATTACATTTACCAAAGAAGAATTACCGGTAATCCTCTTCAAAAACCTGAAACAAACACCCCCTAAGGATGTGTTCGATATGCACTATGTCTGATTCTCAAGTATCTTAGGTTTCTAGGCATATCATATCAAGGAATTCAACATATGATGATATATCCAACTGGTGAGATAAGGAATGACATATTAACCACAATACGTTCGCATTGAAAATAAAAATTCATAAACCTCAGAATTATATAAGAGGAACTGTGACCTTAGCCTCTCTGGCTTATCTTTACTTTCACTTTCTGCAGCACGGACTAGCTCTGCTGCCATGACTGACAAAATTCAAGGAAGTGTTAGAAATCAAAATACTTAGAAATCAAAATGCAGCAGATGCAAAAGATTTTCACTCACCATGAATCATGATCAGCAATAAATTCATAGTGATCTACAATTAATATTACTGTCAATCAGCATGCACTCTTGTCTTGTGTATATAGCAACATAGTAGAAAACCCTTGAATAACCAAAATCCTAAGAAAAGCTTCCCAACTATGTGCAGGCATTACTTGAATGGTCAGATTAACACAAGAGAGATCAGATGTTGTACGTATCAGCAAATATTTTCTTTATTGCTTTTCATGAGTACTGGGAGGGAGTCCAGTAATTTTGGATTGAGCCATATTATATATGCAACATGGATCAATCACACAATCTTACAAATAGGTGATCTCACACTGCATGCAAGTCAAAAGCTCACATCATTTTTCATACTCATCCAAAAAAAAAAAAGTGTTACTTTTGACATTCAAGTATTATCCAGGTCAGTTTAACATAGAGTGGTGATTATTCTGATTAATGATTTGGCAACATAAGAACAATGCGCATAGGTAAGCAGTAAGCACCATTGCTCACTCCAGGGTATATTCCACCGGTAGTTATAGCTGGAACATTTGCAGCTAAAGCCCTACTCATAAAGGATTTTGCACGCCATGCATAGGTTGTGTCATCACAAACATCAAGATATGCAGTCTGCGGTAAAAACGTATCAAAAAGAAAAGAAGGAAAAGAACCAAGAATAGTTAGTTAAGTGCGTGTACATGTAAAGCCAAGATATATAATACCAAAAAAAAAAAAAAAAGGCAAGACATATTTAGAGATTTTGATGAACATAAGTACATAACAAAGTAGCGATTCAGAAACGATTGATCATTGATGGACGATATAGGTTACCTTGGTTTTTATGGCAGCTTCAAGAACACTGCACCTTTCTGCCTGTTGGAAAGGTCCAGCGGCATGGACTACGAGATCCACACCTGCAGAGGCAATCTAACACTATATTGGCATCAATAACATCAATAACCGATTTCTATAAATAAAAAATGTGGATTGGAAATGCAATTTTACTTTTCAATGCAGTTTCCAGAGAATTGACGTCGTCGATGTCAACATGAGCAAAACCTGAATTGCCGCCAAGTTTTGCAACCATAGCTTCACCTTTTTCTCTGTCACACGATCACATCATCACAGCCACGAATTAGAATTACTCAACAATCTTTCTTACATTACAGGCACGTGCACGCGTGAGGATGATTGACAAATGCACTGACCTGTTTCGGCCGGCGACGACGATTCGAAGGTCGGGACAGAGGTTGGAGAGGGCAATGGCGGTGGATCCTCCGACTCGACCCGTTCCGCCGAGGACTAACACTCTCGAGTTGCGAGTCTTCTCCGGCAGCTCCGCGACCTTGTTGGTTTGGAGTTGACTCCTTAACTTCAAATTCAAATTCAGAGGCAATGAAGCTGGCGCCATTGAATTGAATTTGATGAGATAAAATTCACTTCCCTCTTCTCTTTCTACCCTTTTGTGTTATATCCGTTATCACTAGTTTATCTTTTCTTTGCTTTTCTGCTGTGGTGTCATAAAGGCTTGTTCTATACTTGGCAAAGTCCACGCCACATGTCCATGCATGTATACATATAATTAATATAGTTTATAATTATAAGAAATTCTAAAAAAATTGATTCATTGAATATTTCAGCAATTAATCATTGCTTTGATATTTCTACGGTGATAAATTATTTATATTTAGTCTCAAAATAATATTATTTTGAATTAAAAAAATAAAAAATTATAATAATAAAGACTATTATAATATTAAAATAAATTATAATTACAAAAACACTTTACTTTTTATCCAAAAAAAAGATTAGTTTGAACATAATAAAAATAATTTATCTATATTTCTGTATTGACTGAAAAAAAAAAAAAAAAACCACCCTTAATCATTTCCCATCCTTAACTACTAGAATATTGATTACATAATTTCCCATCACAATTTTTCATTTTATATTTGTGAATTGCCGTGTACTTTTTTCCAATTCAATCTCTTTAAATTTTTTATCCTCGGAAGACTTCTCCAGCATCAGGTGGTTTTGTAAGGAACATAATCTAATACAAAAAGCTAACAGCATCGAAGTAATGATCATCGTTTTACAAAGAAAACAAAACTTACAAGCCATCCAACCTCTCAATAAAAGCTGTCCACAATACCATAACTATATATCAGTGGGTGAATTTTTTCAAACTTACAATAACTGTCCAGAATATCTATCAAAATGCTGACAAATACAAAGTATAAACAAAATCAAATTCAAAAAGAAAAAAAAAATTAAAATAATAATAATAATATTAGCTCCCGAGAAGAGTCTCGATGGCTTCGAAGAAAAATGGTGACATTTCAGGGCTTGGTGTCTTGATTGCACATTTGACGCCAGGGCTTCCAACCACTGTGGTAAGTTCAATTAATAACGGTATGCCTCGAGGGATTTTAGCTGAGAAGTAAAAAACATCCTGGTTCGCATTCTTGCGCTTTGCAATAAAGAACACGTTTGACGCCGCCAGTCGGTCCAGAGTTGTTTCCACACCGCCAATCACAATGGCTGAGAAGTCCCTGGAAACCTCATTTGAATCAGGTAGGGACCTCCATGTCTGCAGCAAAGTTAATAATCAGGTTTCAATTTCTAATCAAAGTATTAATCATAAATATTGTGTAAAAGGTTTAAACTGTCCTTGACTTTCGTTGTAACATATATAAAAACAATCCCATTCAAGCAAAAAAAAAAAAAATGGAAATTTTACACATCAAAGAATCAGGGATAGCCTAAATCATATCAAACGGGAACCTATTGCAGTAAAAGGATCAAACGAATGATAAGGTATACCTCTAGGAAAGACGAACGTTCCATTCTACCATCCTCAGAAAAAAATACATGGAATGAGATTTTATCGTTAAAATACCACACGGGCTGTTGATTGTTTCTTACAGCAATCTGCAGAATTGAGTTAGGAGGACCTTGCGACATGTTCTGGAACATAACCATAGGAAGGAGTGTCCCAGCTGATGTTCCAGGTTGCAATTGGGGAACCTGAAAGGCAACAAACCATCTATTAGAACTTTATTTTGATAGAATCTCCAATTAAAAAACATATATGCAATAATAACCTGCAGGGGTCCAGCAGCCGCAAGACCAAATGTGTTCTTATTAAATTGAATCATGAAGCCATCAAGTGGAACTTGAGTGTTGTTCTCAAACAACAAACTGTAAAATATTTGACCATCCCGCCTAGTCAGCTGTGCGCTGATTTGTAAACCCTGGCCAGTTGATGCAGGAAGTAAAATAGGCAATGGAGGCCTGCAAGCGGGGCAAAATATCTAATTATGCATGATTTCATAGTAATGAAGATTTTAGAAACTGGTCAACCATTACATATGTTGATAGGTCTTCCCGTAAACCTGTTTTAATATTTAATAATAGATCGCAAAATCATAAATTATCATTACTTACTATTTCTATGCAAAAGAAACAACCTTTTAATCATACAAGAATTAAATGCGACACTTCTAAATGCATAGCAGATTATGGTAGACAATTTCATATAAGTAAGCCACAATTACTTCCCCGTTTCACTCACCCAGTAGGAGTAGCTGGTTGATCAAGAGGAACAATAGAACTATTATCCATGCCTATCAAATCACCAAGTAAATCTGGCACAGGTACAGGAGGTGGAGGGGAAGCTGGTGCAAGAGATGCAGGAACTGAATAGCTGGAAGTAGGTGGTGATGCAGCACCATTTGCGGGATTTGCAGCTGACTCAGAATACCCTGTTTCACTTCCCTCGGGATAGTCATCATCTTCGGCTTTTTGGGCCGAAGAGTGCACGCGGGTTACAAATGCATCTGGGGGCTTGTGATAAACGGAAGATAATGTAGCAATGTTGACAAGAAGCTCATCAAGTAGAGAGGGATCAAGTTGGTTTGAGTCATCAGCTATCACAGGCTTCTCAGCTAACACAACATCCTTAGCTGCCTGAGGAAGACAAGCTAGGTACATCAAACGTACAGCTCAAAATTGGTGTCCAAAGAAGAAATTAAAAGAAATAACTTGAGAACAAACCTGTTATTTGCCTGTGGTTAGACACAAAACACTAATTAATGACAAAAGGTCAATCATAGCGGTGTATAAGTGTTAACAGTTGATAAGTTCAGTTTGATTATCCATTCTTCAGTTGGGTATGCACCTTAATTAATTAGCCACATGTTGGCACAATTGCAGATAAAGAGATTATAAGCTAATTCAAGAAATCAAACCTCGGGGTCAGTTGAGAGGAGACGCCAATATATGTATGCACGATCTCGCAAATCAGGATTATCTGTCTCCACAGTGGCATTGTTCAAAACAACCTGTAAAGATTAGCTATAACGTGAAACTTACAGGATCTGAAAAATGTACATGAAAAAACTGCAGAAATTATTATAAAACAATATAAAGGAGACTCTTAAATCCAACTTTAGACAACTAATGATAGAGTGGCAGATTTGTCTTTCAGATTTGATTCCAGTAATTTTAGGAATTGTTCTAGATATAATTCAGAGATGACCTCTTCAACAATGCCAGGATTTTTATTTTATTTTTGTATGGAGAAAAAATAATTATCACAGACTATAACATCTTAATAAAGTGTTGTGACGAGTAGAACTGTAGAACAACATTACAGTTTATAAAACAAGGAATGCACGCAATTACCTAAGATGTATACCCGATGTGATGCAGGAGTGACTTCTTTAAAGCACTCTTTTTCAAATTGTTTACTTTAATCTTCTTTTTTTTAAGTGTTTTCTATGTAATACAGTAATAGGTAGTTGCATGCTTAGCAAGTGACTTTCTAATGAGGTCTAGACTTCCAGGCTAAATGGGCTATGAAAGATTAGGCTGGGCTTAGTAATAATATCTTAATAATCCTAGGAATTTGTATTCAGCATCTTTCAGCCGTGTAAGAAGTTCACCTCTGACGTTATTAAACCCTATTATTCCTCTTATTATCATACCACTTCAATCTATCCTACTTCCCAAATTCTTAACTGCTGTCTATCTTCTTCTACCACATCATATTGCTTCTTGAAGCAGCCAAGCAAGTTATTTCTGAAGATCACGCAAAAGTAGAACACACTAATGACAATCAGCCAAGAAGATGCAACAGCAGAAAGACTAGCAAAGATCAACATCAACATCAACAACACCTTTATCCCAAATTAATTGGGGTCGGTGGAAAAAATATCTATTTGAAATGATAAAACAAGAAAACAAATCACACACTTGTGAACAAAATATTTATTATGAGGCAGGACCTGAATCATCTGCTGTGGGCCCTCCGTTGGCTTCTTTAGAAAAAGTTTGACAGTAGCTGTCAGCAATTGTAGTTGGACTTGTGCAGGTTCTTCAGGGAAACTTTCCAGGAAACTTTCAAGAAGCTCATCAGCATTGTCAATTCTTTCCGCATATTCACCAATTATCCAGATCATCGATGCCTATCCATATAGGGAAGGGAATGAAAAGATAAGCATGCATGCTAATGCATAATAACGATTAGAAAGGCACTCGCAGAAACTGATACCTTGGCTTCAGGCTCGTCCAAGGTGTCTAAGCTCTCACAAAGTGTAGCAATTATGGACTCATATCTGCAAAATGGAACAAAGGTTTGAATAGAGTTTGAAGTATAATATTCTGTCTGCTCGCCACCCACCCCTCGCCCACCCAAAAAGAAGCACATAAGAAAAGATAATATTACGTGTTGGGGTATCTTCTAAATATATCTTTGATAACAATGATTGCCTCTTGAACCACATAGTTTACTTTTATCTTGATCAACTCAAGCAAAACACTAATGCATCTTTCAGCTGCTCTCTCTAATTTGATGGCACAACGACCAATTGCACGAACAGCCTTTCTAACAAAATCTACATCAACTTCGGTAGCATATTCCTTGAATTCCAATAAAACCTGTCAATATCATAACCAAAAGATCAACAAAAGTCAAAACTGACCCCACGTTTAATAATATACCAAATAGAGTGAAGTTGCAGGGACTAAAAGTTATACAAGAAAAGATGTTCTACTAAATTAAATGACTATGCAAACAGTAAAGCTGCAATTCTGCATCAAAGGAATAAATGAAAGGTGAGTCTCATCACTGCAACAGGATAACTTGGTTTTTTTATAGAAGAAGAAAATTCATTAGGGAGAAGAGAGAAAGTACAAGGATAAAGTACCCTCCAAAACAGAGAACTAAAACAAGAAAAGAGCAAAAATGGCTAGAGAATGTTTCGTATCCATGGGATAGGATAAATGATTAACACATCTTTGGTTAGACACATTGTAGGTAGTGTTCACTAAAATCACTATAGAAATCACTTTTTAACAAATGAAATAATGAGGAAGGGGAGGGAATATGAACTCAAAGTAGTATATTGTAAAGCTTACCTGATCTATATTTCGGTCTGAAGCAAGTTTTATCATAATTTCTAACTTTTCCATTTTCACG